AGAAAATAAAAACAAAATGACAAGTGCTGGTGAGAATGGGGAGAAATTGAAATCTTTGTGTACTCTTCATGGGAATATAAAATGGTGCAGCCATTATAGAAAACAGTATGGAGAATCTGCAAACAAATAAAATAAAAATTGAACTACCATGTGATCCCGCAATGACATTTCTAGGTAAACATCAAAGAGAACTGACTCAGTGGTAGAGTGCTTGCCTAGCATGCATGAGGCCCTGGGTTGAATCTCTTGTACCACAAAAACAAAACAACAACAATTGAGTAGGGCAGGGTAGTACACCAGCAACTCAACCCAAGAGGCTAAAGCAGAAGGATTTTAAGTTTGAGGACAGCCTCAGAAACTTAGCAAGATCCTTCTCAAAATAAAAAATAAAAAGGGCTGCTGGTATGGCCCACTGTTTAAGTGCCTTGGGTTCAATCTCCAGTAACACCACTACCACCACCACCCCCCCGTAAAAAAAATTGAAAACAGGATCTTGAGAATAATTGCATTCCCATGTTCACAGCAACATTACATAGTCAAATGTCCGTTGATGGTCCAGTGGATAAAGAAAATGTGGCACATATACACAATAGAATATTATTAAACCTTAAAAAGGAAGGAAATTTTGTCCCATGCTACAACATGCACAAACCTTAAAGAAGGACATGAAATAAATCAATTTCCAAAAGAAATTCTGCATGATTCCGTTTACAGGAGGAAAGTAGTTCAAACTCCTAGAAACAGAAAGTAGAATGTAGCTACCAGAAGTTGGAAGAAGGGAAAATGGGGAGCCATTGTTCCTAGATACAGAGGTTCAGTTTTAATAGAAAGTAGAATGTAGCTACCAAAAGCTGGAGGGAGGAAAAATGGGTGCCATTGTTCCTGGATATAGTTTCAGTTCTGCAAGATAAGAATGTTCCGGAGAGCTGTTATACAACAATGTATATATAGTTGTTATGGTTTAGATATGAGGTGTTCTCCAAAAGTTCATGTGTGAGACAATGCAAGAAAGTTTAGAGGTGAAATGTTTAGATTAGGAGAGTTATAGCCTAATCAGTGGATTAATCCACTGGTATGGATTAACTGGAGGGTAACAGTAGGCAGATAGGGTATGGCTGGAGGAGGTAAGTCACTGGGGGCATGCCTTTGGGGTTTATATTTGTTCCTATGAATGGAATTATTTCTCTGCTTCCTGTTGCTATGGTCTGAGCTGCTTTCCTCCTTCTTGCCCTTCCACCATGAAGTTCTACCTCACGTTGGGCCCAGAGTTATGGAGTTGGTTGACCATTGACTGAACATCTGAAACCTTGGAGCCAAAATAAACTCTGTTCCTCCTCTACATTGTTCTTGTCAGGTCTTTTGGTCACAGCAATAAAAAATATGATTAAAACAATAGTTAACACTACTATACTATATACTTTAAAATGGTTAAAATGAGCTGGACACAGTGGCTCATTCCTGTAATCACAGCTGCCGCAGTCTGGCTGGGCACAATCAGGAGCCACTTGTCAAAAGAAACTAACTTTATTTTTAGAACCACACACGCCAAACAAAACAGCCTCTCAGGAAAAACCCTCAGAGCCCCAACTGCCACCACCGGCTTCCTACAAGCCTCTCTCTCCCACACAAGCCTCTCTCCACCTCCCACAATCCTCCTGCTCTTGAGGCCGATTGGCTGGGTCATGTGGGCGGAGCCACATGAAGAGTTGGGGATGTAGCTCAGAAGTAGAATATTCCAAGGTTCAATCCCCACTACTGGGGAAAATAGGTTAAGAAGATAACTTTGTTATGTATTTTCTACCACAATAAAAAATTAGATTATATCTTGCTAGCTTATAAATGGCATTTCTGGGTAAGGCTATGTGGCAAGGAAATACAGGCAGCCTCTATAAACTACAAGTGGTCTCAACAAAGAAGCCAAGGTCCTCAGTCAAGAAATGAATTCTGTCACCTGGTGTGTTGGCTCATGTTTGTAACCCCAGTGAGTAGGGAGGCTGAGGCAGAAGGATAGCAGATTTGAGGCTAGCCTGGGTAACTTAGCAAGACCCTGTCTCAAAATAAAAAAATATAAAGTGCAGGGCATGTATCTCAGTGATAGAGTTCTTGCCTAGCATGTACCAAACTCTGGATTAAATCCCCAGTACTGAAAAAAAAAGTGAATTCTGTCAATATCAACAACCTGAGTGAATTTGGAAGTAAGAGTTCTCCTCATAATAACATAGAAGAGCTGACACCTTGAGTAGAAGAGCCACTCAGTCATGACTGGACTCCTGACCCACAAAGACTAAGATAAGGGTGTGTTATTTTAAGCCACTGAATTCATGATAATATGTAATGTGGCAGTAAATAATCAATATAAAAGAGATTGTATAAACCAATCTGTTTTCAAATAACTGACTTCTAATGGCATAGTCTTAGTGAGAAGAACCTTTTGGGCCTTGACCTTTGTGGAACCTTGAAATAAAAAGTGTTCATAATAGAGAGCAATGGCTCTCTGAGCATTGGCCAATAAAACCAGTCTTAAGTCATCAATATTTATCATTCTATCACGTCCTAGCTTTGACAGTTTTGTAACCCCTGTGGGTCTCAGTTTTTCCCAACTGTAAAGACAGAACTACCATTACCCACAAGAAGATAGTTGTAAGGATCAAATGAGACAATTAATGCAAAACACATAGGCCACACTGCCTCAGCAATTTTTCTTACTCCTATTCTCCCCCTATTCTGTTCTCTTTCTCACAAAGATTAAATTCTGTTGTAGTAAACTATAAACACATCTCTAAAAGTAAACTTTATACCTTGAGGGCTGGTGGCAAAGCTTGATAATCCTTTATAACCCCCAAGTACCTCACACAAGACTCAACAAATACTTGTTGATCTGTTGACCCTTTAATCAAATAAAAGTTTTTCAAATGCTAGCTATAATCACTATTCTAAAAAATTAAGCAACTCAAATTAAAAATGCTTCTGTTTTTGCTTCAACTAGGCAGCTATCATTAGTTAGTGCTTATTCATGGAGGTCTGATTTACTGCTATCAGTAAATACAACAAACTCTCTTAAGTGCTCTGGCATTTTAGACAGAAGCAGAGGAGGAAAGGGCTTATAGTCACACACAAGGTATAGTCTGAGGTGTATGTAGCCCATGGTGTCAGGAGTAACACAGGTAGATGAGAACCAATGCTATTTTTAAAGATATTTGAAAAAGATATTTCATAAACTTCCATGTTGACCCACTGTGCATGGAATCCCAGGAGGGTAGGGAGGGTAACAAAGAATATACTTCTACTTTCTTTTCTACATGCAAGATATTGCGAGCAAAGGCAGAGTCACTCATTCAATATTAGGGGTGGTCATTTGGTGATAGTTCAACCCTTCCTTCTACAGAATGCAAATGCTCCAGGCCCCTGTTATGTTTTCTCTCACAGCAAAAATCATCATTTGATCTATCAAGGAACCCAGGTAGGACATCAAAGCAGGCCCTCAGCAGGATCTGTATGGAAAAGTGGGTGTAAAATAAATGTCATTCCTCATAGGCTTGAATACTTGTTCCAGCATGTATAATCCAGACTATACTCTAATCCAACTGTTGCCAAATATTTCTATCTCAGGGCATTTAAAAAATATTGAGGAATTCAAAGAGCTTACCTTCAAAAATCCTAGGAAATATAATACACAAGCATGTATTCTTTTAGTCATCAGAGTGATAACATCATCACACATCCTGTAAATATATCATTATTTCAAAAGCAGAAGGTTAAAGGAAATAAGAGAAACACGGAGGATGGGACTATAACTGGCAATGGAAGCCAGGAGATGGTCACATATTATGAAGAAAAAAAAACTTCCAAACCCCAAAGACCTATAAGCAATAAAATAAATCCTTCAAAAAATTTTAAGATGAATTAAAAACTCACTTAGATAAGCAAACTGAAACAGTTTAACAAAAGCAAACCTTTGGACCTGGCACAGTGGTACACCCCTGTAATCCCAGCAGCTTGGGAGGCTGAAACAGGAGGATGGAAAGTTCAAGGCCAGCCTTAGCAATTTAGCAAGGCCCTAAGCAACTTATCAAGACCCTGTCTCAAAATAAAAATTAAAAAAGGGCTGAGATGTAGCTCAGTAGTTGAGTGCCTCTGGGTTCAGTCCCTAGGAGAAAAACAAAACAAAACAAAAAAAGCAGACCATCTCTAAAGAAAATTATGGAGAATGTACCTGAGCCAGAGGGCAGTGTTGCCACAGGAGGATGAGAAATTTAAGGAAATAAGAAGGAAAAAAGATAAAGAAAATATTTTTTAAAGATTTCTTTTTTAGTTGTAGATGGACACAATACCTTTAATTTGTTTATTTTTAAAATTTATTTTAGTTGTAGATGGACCCAATACCTTTATTTATTTATTTTTATGTGGTGCTGAGGATCGAACCCAGTGCCTCACACATGCTAAGCGAGCACTCTACCACTGAGCTACAGCCCCAGCCCCAAAGAAAACATTTCAACTCTAAAAATTACAAGTATAAGGGAAAGAAATTATTGAGAAAGCCAAAGAGATTACCTTATGTAATTTTAGAAAACACCATATACAAGCACACATTCCTTTAGTCACCAGCGAGATGACATCATCACACTTTAGGTTACCTCTGGAAAATTCCAGAAAAAGTGGAAAAAAACAAGTGACTTCGGGACTCACAGCTGCTCGGATTCTTCTCCCACCAACAAAGAGGCCAGGGCATGCCACAAAGGGAATTCTCCTTTACATTTTACAATGGTCACTCGGGGTCTCCCGAACAACCAGCTTGGGTTTCCGGGAAGGCTCCGAGAAGCGCCACTAGAAGGCGCTACTAGAGAATCCCAACGCGGACCTCACCACCCCCACCCGTGCTCGCGCTTCCGATTCTCACGGGCGCCGGAAAAGGGCGGTGTCCGGATATGAGGGCGGTGCGCCGAGGGGTCGCGACTTCATTGGATGAGCTGCCTCTGTCTCACAGACCGGGGCGGGGCTTCTTCGCTCTAAAAAGTAGGGTCTCACCACTGCTCCGTTGCGCTGCTTGCAGTTGCAACTGTGCTGAAGGATTTTTATCACTTGTCGAGGTTCGTCGGGTCATGGTGCCAGCCTGACTGAAAAGAGGACGCTCCCGGGAGACGAATGAGGAACCACCTCCTCCTGCTGTTCAAGTACAGGGGCCTAGTCCGCAAAGGGAAGAAAAGCAAAAGACGAAAATGGCTAAATTCGTGATCCGCCCTGCCACCGCTGCCGACTGTAGTGACATCCTGCGGCTGATCAAGGTAGTGGGAGGCCTGAGTTCGTCCTGGGGCAGTGGGTTGGAACAGCTCCGTTTCTGGGGAAGTCGGCGCCGGTTCCCCTTTCCCCTTCGGCCTCTTGAGCGGGGCAGGATTCCCGCAACCACTTAGCTGTGCCTGCCCGTTCCTTCCCTCTGAGCTGGTGGTAGTGGGGCCTTATTTTCCTTTCTGTTTCTCTTTCTTCTATGTACATCACCCCAGGAACTGGCTAAATATGAATACATGGAAGACCAAGTAATATTAACTGAAAAAGGTAATGCAACAGTGGCGGGGGATGGGACAAGCGTTCGGTACCTGTCACCTCCAGAGGCCCACACTGTCTCTGCTGACCCTTCTTGCAGATCTGCTAGAGGATGGTTTCGGAGAGCACCCCTTCTACCACTGCCTGGTTGCAGAAGTGCCCAAGGAACACTGGACTCCGGAAGGTAACCCCTCACCCAATCCAGAAGCCAGAGAGACCAAGTGTTGCATAAAATGTAGTGTCTGTTGTGTAGAACCCTTGACTACACAGGCTGAAGTTACTGAGAAGTTGACCGGAAATAATAGCCAGCCAGTATTCAAATTACTGAGGAAAGAAAATTGATGTGCTGTACTTTATAATAGGGCAGGTTAAAGGAGCTGTTTAAGTAAGTATCAAAGTGCTGTGGAGACCCGGAAGAGTTAGGTATAATGTCATTTGTTGTAATTCAGTTTCATAAAATGGTTCTTGTTTGACCCTAATATAACCTTTTTTATAATTGTGTTAAATCACATTTTTTTCTTTAATTTGTCCCAATCTTCAGGTTACAGTCTCTAGCTTCGCCATGTACATGGCCCTTCCGTGTACATGGATGGGCGGGGAGGTAACTAAAAGATCCTTTACACAATAAACTAGATGATCATGATAAATGAGGTAAGGTCCTATTATCACACACTTAAAACACGGTAGATCAGAAGCTCTTTACTCGCTTCCTGTCTGTTTGCAAAGAAATATAAAATGGCTAGAAAGTTTAATTTGAAACCTTTGCCTCCATTTGGAATTATAGACACCCCTTATGAGGGAGTCACAAGCTTTTTTTTTTTTTTTTTTTTTGCTGGCCCCTGTTGACTGGTCAGAAGACAGCTGAAAGGGGAAGTTGGGTGGGTGGGTGCTTTCTCAAGTTTTTTTTTTTTTTTTTTTTCTGGCATCCGTTCCCCAAGCCAGAAGAAATGAGCAGAAAACATAAGGGACAAGGTATTTTTTTGTTTTGGTTTTGTTTTTTTTAAGAGGCATAGGAATATTACATAATACCTGTTTCTGGGCACTGCTGCTTCTTCTGGCTTAAAAACTGGGGAGAGCAAATTGAAAATATATAAATTGGAAGGCAAGTTCTGAAATTAAACATCATACTTTTGGCCTGATGTTCTGACAAGGAAGCAAGAGTTGGTAAACTACAAATATTTACTATTCTGAACTGCCGTGTAAACCCAACTTATTCCCAAGTCACATACCAGTATATCATTAGGATGTGAATAATGTGTGTGTTTAGTTTAAGACCATAGCACTTTTGCTCTGGCAAGTAATGAAAGCATTCTCACTTCCTGAGTGAGGTGCATCAGACTGCAGAGTAGCCAATCTGGTTGTAGACTGGCTTCAACTAGCTTTCATAATGTGTGCTTTTTGCAAATACATGTCTGAGAACAGTGAGATCATCCAACAGTGGCCTGGACTGCACTAGCATAAAAGTCAGGAGACAGTCCAGTTCAGTGGCTACTTGTTTCCATAGTACATGCATGTATATTTCTTTGAAACCTATGATAGGCTTCTGATTCTGCCACTACAGCTTTAATGGATTATTTTTCTTCTCCACATCTCATGTGATATTCTTATTACAGGACACAGCATCGTTGGTTTTGCCATGTACTATTTTACCTATGACCCATGGATTGGAAAATTACTGTATCTTGAAGACTTCTTCGTGATGAGTGATTATAGAGGTAAGGTTGAATTTAGGGGAAAGTGTCTAAGGAGAAATTAGGGCAGTAAGTCCTTACAATGACTTTTAAAATTATTCTTCTCTTTCTTTTAGGCTTTGGTATAGGATCAGAAATTTTGAAGAATCTAAGCCAGGTATGTCCTAGTTTTGGGTTTCCAATTTGTAAGGGTTACAAGATTGTTGTAGTGACTGAATCAAAATCAAGTTTTGGATAGCAGGTGAGATGTCACGGAGTTTGTGTTTTCTCTCCCTTATAATAGGTTGCCATGAAGCGTCGCTGCAGCAGCATGCACTTCTTGGTAGCAGAATGGAATGAACCATCTATCAACTTCTACAAAAGAAGAGGTGCTTCTGATCTGTCCAGTGAAGAAGGATGGAGACTCTTTAAGATTGACAAGGAGTACTTGATAAAAATGGCAGCAGAGGAGTGAGGAGTGCTGGTGTAGATGATGACAACCTCCATTCTATTTTAGAATAAATTCTCAACTTATCTTGCTTTCTATCCTATTTGTAGTAAAATAATAGAATGAGCACCATTCCAAAGCTTTATTACCAGTGGCGTTGTTGCATGTTTGAAATGTGGTCTGTTTAAAATGGCAATCATCTGCAGTTCGGAGTCAGATTTCTCCTTGAACATCTTTTGATAAACAGTGAGGTGGTGTGATCTTAATATATATGAAAAAAACTTCATTCTTGTGAGTCATTTAAATGTGTACAATGTACACACTGGTACTTAGAGTTTCTGTTTTGATTCTTTTTTAATAAACTACTCTTTGATTTAATTGCTTGGTGTAAGCACTTTTACTAATCCTTATACATTTTTTGTTGCTATAAAGTGTGAAATAAAAATGGCCGCGACTGGGGTTGTGGCTCAGTGGAAGAACACTAGCCTAGCATGTGGGGGGCACTGGGTTCAATCCTTAGCACCACATAAAAATAAACAAACATAGGCATTCTGTCCATCTACAACTATAATTTTTTTAAATGACCAACATCAAAGTCTGGAATGAAGCTAGTTGAATTCCAAAGCATGTAACAATATTTTACTATGTTGATGACACCATATACTTCATCTGACAAAATTTTTAAGAGCTGAGAAACCAGGTTAAAAACTGAAGCCCATAATCAGTCAGGCCACTGTTACACAAGGAAAACATGGATTTGATATTATGAAACACTGAAAATAAGAAAAAATACCAACACCATTCCCTACCCACCAATAAGACGCTGGGATTAAATCCAGGGTTCTGTGTGCTAGGGAAGGACTCTACCACCTAGCTATAGCCCCAACTCCTAACAAAACACTTTGTGGGCTGGGGTTGTGGCTTAGTGGTAGAGTGCTTGCCTTGCATGCATGGGTCACTAGGTTTGATCCTCAGCACCACATAAATAAATAAAATAAAGGTATTAATTTTTTTTTTTTTTTAAAAAAAGATAACTTGTGAAGGTAAAGCAACTAGGTCACTTTGTTAGGAGCAAAAATTTTAACATTTCTACAGGGAGTTTGCAAATGAAAATTTGCAAAGCTGGACTTGGACAAATCAGATAAATTAGCATCTTATTTGGAGGGTAAGTTTGTGGTACTGTGTTAACATAATGGGCTTCTATACTAGAGAAACAATAGGAGCCTTTCAAGTTACCAGGAAAATGAAGTAAACAAATGCTTTCTCAAGAACTGAAAATGAAATAAAAGGCAAAAAGTTTTCTCCTTAGACATGTGGACTCCTTTTATTAGTCATTACATTGACATACATTCCCAAACCCACTATAATGAAACCCCACAATAATGAAAATGATAGTTGATAAGAACCACTGTAGAATAATACTCAAGATTATAGTTTTCCAAAAGAAGTTGTAGGAAACCTGAAAAACAATACTCTATTTCTGTGTTCTCTTTGAAATAAATCCTGGGCTCTCCAGTGGAAAGGGATTTTGTCTTGCATTCCTTTATATCAGTATCTCTTATGGCTTCCTAAATTAGAAGGTAGTCATATGTAAAAGGGTAACCCTGGGTGGCATTTAATACAGCTTTGGGATTTGTTGGTGGCTCAAAAACCATGCCATGAAAATAGGGTTACAAAGTCAATTCTCTACCAGGAGCCTGCTAAGATAGCAAGTAACTATGAGGGAAATGCTGGCAAAAATAAAAAGGTAACTAACATAAAGAGCCTTGTAAGATATTTTGAAGATTTTGTTTTGGAAACTGGGACTCTCAGAGGAAAACAACTACATGCTGACTTTGGTTAACTATATGAATAAGTTAACCAAGCTATTTACAATATAATTCTTTGTTTTCTCATCCATCTTAGAGCTTAACCTTTAAGGCCCAGTGTTATCAGGAGGAAAGCTTTTATGAGGCTTTTGTATCCATTTCAGAGAAATCCCCTAAGTGTAAAATTTAAATGCTGAGGGCTGGGGTTGTGGCTCAAGCGGTAGCGCGCTCGACTGGCATGTGTGCGGCCCGGGTTCGATCCTCAGCACCACATACAAACGAAGATGTTGTGTCTGCCAATAACTAAACAATAAATATTTTGAAAAAAAAAATTTAAATGCTGAAACCCCACATCAGTCCAAAGAAGGTTCAACTCACTTACAAAGACGCCTCTTTAAAAACTGAACTATAAAGCAAAAGTGTACAACTTGAAATCACCAGACAAGTAAGAAAACATGGGGAAATTATTGAAAATAAAATAACAAACAACGATAGACCTGGAAAATTAAAAAAAAAAAAGTCCATGTAAGCAACGCCCCTGTAAAAGTAACTTAAAAATTAGTAATTTACTAAAACATTATACCTGACCATCATTTGGGAGGAATAGTATTTCAGGCCTAAGGACTTGTCAATTATTAACATCAGGATATTTCTGGGTTTGTTTTTTAAAACAACTGTTATTTGCTAAGTTTATGATGCCCCTAAAAGACTTAAAAAGTCAAGTTCTGATGCTATAAAAGCAAGAAATAGCTGAGTTTGTCCACACAGACTTAAGACATCTGCTACTTATCTGATTACAGGGTTGAAAGTACAGCCATGGCCTGTCATTGTCCAACTAGAGTCCAGGATCATCAATTGCATAGATTCCATGAGGTAATCTTTTCTAGAGAAAGAAAGTAGAGTCTTTTTCACAGAAATATAGAAGAAACAATCCTGATCAACCTAATGATTTATTCACACCTTAGACCCATGCTACCTTTTCTTAGGAGTCTCCTTTTCACTGGGTACCCAGCAGGGCTTAGAACAGATGACACTTATCACTGCTCCTTGAGGCAAGTGGCTGCTCAGCATCAACTAATAGCGCTGATGGTACCCTGGGAAACCAACCACCACCTCCTGCTAGAAATGAAGCAGCTTCCTCCCTGACTAGGATAGGCATGGCTTCTCTATCAGAATCTGCAGATGGCTTTGTCTGCTCCTAGAATCCTGTTTGCTTGACTGGGGCCATGTTTGTTTTCTTGCTTTCATGTCTCTTTCTGTGAGTTGTCACCTCAGGTGACCTTGTGCTTCATTCCCACCCCTTTCCTTTGTGTTTCCAGCCTGGGCTTCAAGCCAGTCAGCTGTTACCCACAGTTCAGACTGACAGACAGCCCACACTGTTATGGAACCCATTCCCATCTTCATTGCCTTTGTTGTCCCACTATCAAAGGCCATCAAATGCCCTTCCTCATAATATTCTCCCAGCACCCTATTTCCCCATCAGCTCTTTCTTTTTTGTGGTTCACATCTGCCCAGAAAAAAATGTTTCAGTAGTTTCCAGATGGTTATCAACATAATAGCTAACGATGATAGCTAATGTTTATTAAGTACTTACCAGGAACCAGGCATTAAGTTCAACTCTTTATATACATTATTATCTCATGTAAGTCTTACAACCACCCTATGAGGTAGATACTGCTATAACTATTATCATTTTTCTTTCTTTCTTTCTTTTTTTTTTTTTTTGAGATAGGGTCTCACTACATTGACCTGACTAATCTCAAACTCCTGGGCTCAAGCAATGTTCTTGCCTCAGCTTCCCAAGTAGCTGGGCCTACAGGCATGTACCACCACACCCAGTTTATTAGTTTCTTTTTATATTGAGAAACTAAACCTCAGGGAATTTAAGTTGTCCAAAGCCACACAACTAGGCCAGGGAACCAGGCTCCAAACCAATTTCTCAATCCTCTGGGGGTTCCTGCCATATTCTCTGAGGCCTTCACAGTCTCTACAAGAATGATTGAATTTGGTGTTTCTTTTGTATTACAAACTGAACAATAATCAGTATAATTATTTTCTGGATCATCAAAGTCAGTGGTTCTCAGCATTGGCTGAACATTAAAAAGCTTTAAAAAAAATGCCAATGCCCCACCCTGAGAGACTTCAAATTTACTTATAGTTTCCTGTACATACCAAATTGAATCCGGGATTGAGACTCACTGATCTGGACAATTAGCTTGTAACTGAACCCTAGTCACAAATGAAATATAACCATTTCAGTTTGTGTTCAAACTGATCACCTTGGCAACCCGCAGTTAACGGTGAACTCTTGCTAAGCAAAGACCAAGTGAGTCCCAGCACACTTCATGAAGGACAGCCTTCTGAAGAGTTTTTGGAGAAAAATGTCTGGGAGAATTGTGTCATTCCACACCATACCATGCTAAAACCAAAAACATTGACCCCAGCTTTCAGTACCACGTTTCTTTGTAACCAGCAAGTTCATTTTAATAAAACAATTCTCTTCCCATCAAATCACTGTTGTTCATTTGAATTTTATTAGTTTGGTAATTTTGTTTGTATTTGATTTGTAAATAAATATTGGCTTTATATTATATCAGCAGTAAGCGTAAAATATTCTTATCTACTTGGATGCTTTTCTTAGGGAACAGAGTACTGGGGATTTAACCCAGGGTGCACTTTAGCCACTGAGCTACATCCCCAGCCCTTTTTATTTTGAGACAGGGTCGAATTAAGTTGCTTATGGTCTTACTGAGTTGCTGAGACTGGCTTAGAAATTGTGATTCTCCTGCCTCAGCCTCCCAAGTGGCTGGGATTACAGGTGTGTCACCACACCCAGCTTAGTTATATGCTTATAGCAATATAATTTCAATCACTACTGGGGTCTCTGAGAATTCTAATTATTTTAATTCAAGTTACTCAAGTTTGAGAAACATTGTCATAACCATTTTGCAATACTGCCTGCTTCTGTTTGTTTATTTGTTTGTTTTTAAAAAGGTATGGGCTGGGGTTGTAGCTCAGGTAGAGTGCTGAGTTCAATCCTCAGTACCACATAAAAATAAATGAATAAAATAAAGGTATTATGTCCATCTACAACTAAAAAATATTGAATTTTTAAAAAAGTGCCAGGGGATGCAGATGTACCTCAATAATAGAGTGAATGCTTAGAATGAACAACACCCTATGTTTGATTTCTAGCACTGAAAAAAAGTGCCTAAGTTTATCAGAAGTAAGACTTGATCAGATTCAGATTTGATTTTTTGGCAAAAAAAAAAAAAATATTTGAAAGGTGATTTTTTTTCCACCAAGAGATGATGGCTGGCATCTCTTTCTAGGTCCATTTATTCATTAGAAGTTGCAAAATGGTGATATTCTGTTTCTAGCCTTTGTCATTAATGATCTAGGATACTTGTATAAAGAGAACTTTCCCTCATCTTATATTTTTTTACCCTGAGGTACAGCTCACCCAGAAAAGACATGATTTATTCTTCCCTTTTATTTACTAGTTTTCAAAAAATGAATTGGGTTCCTCAGCATCTTCCAATGAGGCTTTTTCCCCCCTTTCAAGTATCA